ATGAAATGATTTTTTTTAAGATTGCACTGATCTAGTAATATGAATGATGCAATAAAGAATTTAAAACTTGACTAGGTGTGTAAATAATAGATTTTATAAATAAATATTTAATTTTTATATATTCAACCTTTTTAACAGTCTACCTATGCAAGTGACTACCTAACTAAGTATTAACCTGTCAACATGTCTACTTTTGTACCTGTCTACCTGATCACCCGGCTACCTGTCTACTTGACCACCTATTTAGCTATCTTCCAGTCTACCTGATTATTTGTCAACTTTTATACCTTTCTACCTGTATATCTGTCGACCTGTCAACCAGCATGTCTGTCAACCTGCCAACCTGCCTATCTTTCAACTTGTGAATCTGTCTACCTGTCTATCTTTCTACTTGCATTCCTGTCAGCTTTCAGCTTTTTTTCCAGTAACTCTAAAACTAATAGACCTGCCTTCACCATAATTTAATCAATTTTTCCCTTCGTTAATACAAAAAAAATATGGCGTCTTTTTTGCCGTAAGACCCGTTACATGAACATTGTGATATATGTGAATTACCGGCTTTCCAAAACTAATAATTGAAAATAAAATATGAACTGTTTATTATAAAGAAATATCCGATTGCCTTTATAATTTTTAAAACAGCAGTGTTTTAGTGAAAACGAGAGCAAAATGCACCATTTGCGTTTATACGCACACGCTCGTGTTTCTTTATTTTATTAATTTATTGATGTAAAAAAGTTAAGAACCTTGAATGTTTTATGTAAAAATGAGAAAAATCATGGATTTCGCGTCGGTAGAAATTTTAAATCTTCCTTCCCTGGAACAAAACAGTAATTCTGCGAGTCATTGCTCGTTGCATTTTGTTTCAGATCTCATTAACGTACAGATAAAGTGTAAATATAATAGATAGTATATAGGCAACTAGCCAAGAAGCATCAAAATCATTTATATCTGTAACATTAGACCATAGCAAAGACTTAGATACAATGGGATGAAATACTATCAATTTATTATTACCAAAATGAGATATGAAATTTACAATAAAATTAGGAATTTTAATATAAAGATTTAATCTAGTTTCTCAAACATCAAGTATGAAATACAGTAAGCTAATTGAACAAAGTACGGATCATTGACTTAAATACATTTACTAAAAGTTAATATAAAATCGTTCTAAATTACTATTAAATTATATTCATTGAATAAATTATCTTTCTATCGGTTTATTTATTGTAGAATAAATCAAAACAATTTTCTTGCTCAGCTGTGCTGTTAATAAAATCATTAAGTTACTTCAAAAATGTACCGCAATTTTAAGCAAATAAAAAACATTGAATTTAAATGGTTAATACTTTTCCTGATTTCATCCCCAATGAAACACGTTTTGTGCATACGTCCTCAGATTACACGTGAACCATTTTTGCCATTCGTTATCAAACTAATCCGAAGTTAAACTCCCTCTGGTGTAGTAATTAATTTATTGGCAATAAGTGATTAAAATCCATTATGCAATAAGCTGCACGTATAGAAGTGTTTAGCTACACATATGCACATATACACTCGTGTATGTTTATGGTAGAACGATTTCTAGCGCGATTAACTTGTAACTCAATTAGTGACAGAGGATGCTGTAAACTCTGCGTGTGGTTCTATATACACACATACAAACTTTGTATAGGAATATATAATCCCGACGATTTAAACATGTATAAATAAATAAATGTATATATATATATATATATATATATATCCACAACTCCATTGGTTAATATTGGGAGTGTGCGTAGCAGAGAAAATTACGGAAATTGAAAATCTCCTCAGCAAAGTGAAAACGGCATTTGTACGTAAGTGCCAATTTATTTTGTAGAAGTTAATTATTAGTTCGGATTTTTAATGTCCGTTAACAGTGACGCTTATTCAATGTTTTTCTAATTATTAAAACATCATCAGACTTGAAATGGTTTGTTCTACTTTAAGTTCAAATAATTGAAATGTCGGTATAACTGCATGATTTTAGAAATTCTAGTCGTAAAGCTAAGATAAAGATAAATTATTTAATTATTCCAGTTTTGTTGTGATAAATTTCTGGGCCATGAGGATAGGCGAGTGTAAACTGGATTTAAAATGATATAAAATAGTGTTAGTCAAGTCTGAAGGAAAATATCATAAAGTAGTGTTAAAGTTTTATAGAAAACATCATAGAAGTTTATAAGCCCTACATCATTTTTATGTGAGAATATTTTTTAAATATGAATCTGAAATGTGTACGGTAGTGACAGTCATTATAACATACTAATTTGAAAAAGAGTTCAAAAGGAGAAAGATGAAGTACGTTTGTTCGAACAAGTTTCCATTATTGCATCGAGTCAGCACCCTTTTATTAACATGATTTGTAGGCAGTATTTCTTTTAAATAGTCAAAATAAAGATTTTTTGTTTGATTTCTTTTCATTATAACTGTTATTTGTATACAGATAGATCGCCCTGTTTGTAATTTATAAGTTGTAAATTAGTGTTTAATTACTTACTTAGATAATTTAGCTCAGTCATTTTGATGTTTTGTTTTCAGAAGTGTACGTTGGATACGGTTGTGACAAATTTTGTGGGTACGGTTGTGACATGTGTTTCTAGTAATTTCCGGGTGAAACTTAAACAGATAAAGAAAAATCTAACTTAACTAATACAAAACACGAAAAAGAAAGAGACAATAATCACTAAAAGAAAAATAAAAGATTTTACAAAGATTTTTTGTTTTAAACAACTAAAGTGTTGTTTAAAAAAATATGTTTTCTTATATATTGCTATATTATAAGCATAAGCCTTGTTTAGATAGTTAGGTTGTGTTGTGTTACATATTTTATTTAACTTTTATTTCAGCTAACTGGTAAATTTACAAAATTATTGCTGATCAAATAAAAGTGACCAAGTCTCCCCTATAAATCATTTAAACATTTATCAACGTTTTGCAATATCATTTTGGAACACCGTGATCTACTAAAGTTTGTAGAGTTTTCATTATCGTTTAATCAAATTCAAAGAAATGCATCAAAATAATAATAGTATTGCAACAATTAATTTGAAGTGAATAAATCGGAAGCATTTAAACACTAATTTTAATCCTACTTTATATGTGAGCATTAACTGATGTATTTTTAAACCTGGCGTTTAAACATATAAACATTTTACATTTGAATTTGTGAAATATTCAAAAATAGATATTTTTATGATTGCTGCTATTTTGTATAAGTATATTTTAATCTTATAAATTGCTATATACGTAGCATTTCATATGTTATCTGTCCCATTGTATATTTAATGAGATTACTCTATAAATAAATATTAATTAAATATATGATATATTATGTTATCATTTTCATTTCTAAGTAGGTACTTTAAACGACTGAAATCGTCTTTATTCAATACGTCTCAAGTGGTTGCATTCTATGGTGGTTTTACCAATTAGTGACTGAACAGTGATATTTTTATATGTGTCTGTGTGAGAATAAATGTATATAATAGAGAAAACTGAATTTGTGAATATGGAATTTAATATTAAATACGTCTGTGTATAAGACTAATAATCTCTAAAGATCAAAAATATACTATAAGTTCAAAGGAGAATGCAAAGTTAAGGGGGTATTCTAATGTAGAAATTCAAAAAAAATCGATTTTTTTTATTTCATATTTTCAAAGTTTAACTATCTAAGAATATGCACAAAAAGGTTTTTGAAAATTTGAATTATTTTCAGAGATATAGGCATTTTACTGACTCGGTCTCCATACTGGTTTGGCTTCACGCAAAACTTTAAATGCGTTTTTTCTAAGAACAGACTTTTTCAGTACTGTTGACACGATTTCTCGAGTTCTACTCGACCGATTCACTTGAAATGTTCAGAGAGTCTTGTTAATAGGTCTATCTATAGCCCGAACTAGGATTATCCCCAAATTCCAATTTTTACTATTTTTAAAAAATTCGAGAAACTCAAAAAAGCAGTAAAAAAACAGTCGCCGAATGGTAAAAAAACATTTTTTTACTCATCGCTTGTTTGGGCGATTGCGACATCATTGTAGATTCATAATCTTTTTATTTCTTTTATTTCGGATGGCTAGTAGGCCTGAAATCATGTCAAGACTGAGGTGCCAATTTTTTGAGACCACCCAACTCTTTCATTTTTTATTTTAATCAACTTTTTTATTTTTTAATTTTTGTTTTGTATTTTAATAATATTAATAAACAAGAGGTAAATAAATGGATAGTAAAAACATTCATTGCTTTCTTTTACGACACTTTAAAAATGATCTAAAATTCATCGCTCTATACTAGAATACCCCCTTAAATGAAGCATTATGACTGAAATAAAATTTATAATACTCTATATATTATTAAGCCAGAATTGTACAAAAATGTATATAAATAATATTTTCAATCGTAGAATTTTCTCTAAACTCGTTCGATTATTTCTCATTGATTAAAGTAACCATAGATAAAAATAACCAGAGATAAAAGAAGTATAAATAGATCGCAAACAAAGTCGTTTTCCCAATACCTCCATTTTAATTCTTTTAGCTCTTTATAGAGGCGCAATGACGGCAGCACGTAAATCTACTCCTAGGTTTGACTCTAAATAAATATAATAACGAAAAAGTAAACCGTAAAAAAATTATGAAATAATATGAGGACGAAATGAATAGTTTTTGAAAAATAAAATAATTAAAATTAAATAACGCTGTAAAGTGGATGTTTTATTATGATAGAATCAGATCTATATGCGTTGAATTTGAGCATATAAAACAGAATAAGGCGTACTTGTACTATGTTTACCACCCCAATAAAAATTGGACGAATAGAATATTAGATTATACATAAACAAATATAAAACTAAAATAAAAATAATTGAACATGCAACTTCCACCTTACATATAAAATCACGCTTCATCACTGCAATCATTCATCCATCTTCACGATTCAATCATCAATAAAAGAAAATTCAAGTCACTTACTTATCATGCTTCGTTCCGGATTTGCTATACGGATGCACCGAATGGCTATTGTGATTGAGGTGACTCAGCTTGTTCGCATTTCGATCAGTATTAGTTTGAGATCCCGGCGATATTTTGCCGGCCAAGGCATCGAGCGAATGCAGCATAGCCCTTCCTTTCTGAAGAACTGCAAACTTTTGCTGCTTCTTCTGAAGAAAGAAGAATGGTGAATTTTCCAGGCCAAGGGTCAGGGCCCTGGTGTCTGTGCGGTCTAAGCCTTGGAGCAACGATGGCGCGTTTGTCAATGACCACATTGCACAAATCGCGCACACGAGTTTGATGTAATTTCACACTGGACCACTATTTTGGCTTTACTTTATTAAAATAACAAATAATAAAAAAAATTAAATTAAAGAGATAATCGCACTTTGGGATGACTTATCCCTTCTTTGTTTTCTGACACTGCACAACTATTTTCACTTGTTTTGACCACTTTAATTTAGTCCACTGTAGTCCTGATTAATGTGTAATATATCAAAGCACACTTTATAAACGCGTTATAAAAAGCTTTCAAATATATTCCGTAAATTTTCCTTTCTGAGCAAATCCACCTCTATATTACATTCAACACTTGACTAGGTGACTATATTCGAACTGATTGCATTTCGTTTTGTGAGGAAAGAACGTACAATGTTCTGTTATCATTTTATCATACACACACATAAGTTACATATGATAAGATAAAATATATTATATTTTTATGTATATCGTTGGTTATCTGACTCGTTTACCTGTTATAAAATATAAGTGGAATATATAATATAAAGTGAATTTTATCAAATCACAGACAAACACTGGAATTATCCGAGTGTCTATTTAAGTAAGTTTTTAGAATTAATGACTTTGTTCACACTATTTGAATAAAATATGGCGAAATTAATGGCACTGAAATTTTAATCAGAAACTAGTTACTTGCATTGTTTTAAAAATAAATATTATAAAAAATATTAATTGAAGTTTTTAAACTGGTTAAATTCATGAGATTGTCACTAGATTTAATGATATGATAGTTTAATGAAAATTAGTTTTATGATTCACATATTCTTTGGTTGCTGTTAGAGCTTTATTTGGTTGACTTTGGTTTGTTTATAATTAAGTCACTAATTACACCATTTGCAATCTCCCTTATCTGTAATAAAAATTTAGAAAAAACATTAATAAAGTGAAATACTATACAGTCATTATAAATAAATATTACCTATGACTTATAATAGATTTAGACATTTTTTACAATGTCTTCATTATAAACATAAAATATATATGATTGTAGTATTAATAATATATGAGACTGATTAATAATTTTTCTTAGGAGTTGGACAAGTACTATGTCAAGTTTTGATAAAGTAATTTTTTTTATGCACACTTAAAATATTTTAAACAACATGAAAAATATAGTAATTACTTTGCTGACGATAATGAAATTTCTTCAATACTTTCTATAAAAATATATAAAAGGCTTTCTTCATAGGCTGCATGGGCTTCAAGGCTTCAAGACTTCATATATAAAGCTTTCTCATGGAAATCATTAAAAAAATATAATAAAAAAATCGATATTTCTATTATTATATTTTGTATTAGTAGTATTTTAATTTCAAAATCGTCATTGCTGATTTTATTACATAAAATAAAAATCATTTAAAAACATTGACTACTTCTTTTATGAACACATATATATTTCAAAGTCGATAAGTATTTATGATTTGTTTCTGTGTTATTTATTTTTTTTAAATAGTTTTTGTCAAGCAAAGATAGAAAGGTTCGTTATCTATATTTCTTCGAAATGGGGAATGAATCAAATCTTTATATCTGAATTTACGAGATTACGAATGCTTATTTGTTTATATAATGCTGGACGGCATCTGATTTATTAGTATCGAATACTATTATAACAATACATTCATTTAAACAAAAAATTCGAGGAACTACTTGTTTTGCATTCATTGTAACGATTGATATAATCAACAGTGTATTGTTTAAGCATGAAAATTTATTATTATTAGTTAGACTACAAAGCAAAACTAATTTGTATTTCGTTTTATTTATGATATTTTTATTTAAAAAATGATATAGCTAATTGTGAAAATGATAATTATGATAAATATAAAAATTTAATAATGAAAGTAGTAACATAACGTTACATATAGTAACAGAATATAGTTTGAAAAAAGTATATTATGTATAATAACACATCAAATTAATTATTACAAAGATTCAGAGAAGCTACTTTAATATGTCATAAAAAAATTAAAGTAGTGGTGTATGGCTTCAAGGCAAATTGCTGGAACTTCCCGTACCGTAAGGAAATGTTCGAGGAATATTAAATGTTTTCAAATAGATTATTATAAATATTGTCACATTGTCTAATATTTATAAGAATTATATAAACTGAATTGCAAAATTGAAATTATTTGTTTATAGTATATTAGAACTTTAGTCAGAATTAAAATTAAAATCTGAATTATTTTCGATATACAAAGAAAAAAATTTTTTGAAAAACAATTTGAAACAATTTTTTTCCAAAATCAATTATTTTGTTAAAACAAGCAGAAAGTTCTTTGAATTATTCAAATCGGTCGTTTAGTTCCCCAAAAACTGCCATTTTTTGCACATTAAGCTCTGTATCTTTGAAATGGCTAGACCTGTCTTTGCAAAAACTTATCACCTCTTCTCCCAATCATTAAAAAATGAATGTTTTTTAGATCATTCAAATCAGATACTCCGTTCTCTCAAAAACTCGTATTTTCTGCACTCTTTGCTCTGTATCTAAGTAACGGCTGGACCTGCCTTTGCCAAAAACTAATCAGCACATCTCCCAATCAATAGGAATCGAATGTTTTTTGAAGCATTCAAATCGGTTGACCCTTGCGCCCGAAAACGTGGACGAAAAAATGAGGACGAAATTTATTTTTGTAAAAGTTAAAAATGTTTTACATTTCAAGGTACTTCAATTTATTCAATACCAAATACCTTTTCATAATTAATATTCTGGTTCGATTTTTTCAGTACTCTAGGTATCAATTGTTCAATATCAGTCATTAATTACTTGTCTATGTTCATAGAATCATCATTATAAATTGGAAAATAGTTCCAAACTATTGCATAAGATTTGCCAGTGCTAATGTTGTCAGTGCAATTAGTTCGCGCTAACGAGCATTGCGAAGGAGTGCATGTTCACTCTCCTGGCAGTCGAATAAAGACCAAACGCACTATTTTGCAGTTTGACACAGTTGGCTAGAATTACGGTTTGTCTAACAGTGGTGGCACCGATGTACAAAATAAGAAATATATAAAACGTAACATACATCAAGTGTTTGGATTTTTTTGCAAAGAGCAATACTGTCGTACTGACAACATATTGCTAAACTCTTATTAAAATATTATCAAGTAATGATAAATACCATAATCCATTTGGCAGTAGACTGGGCTGATTAAGAGGCAGTAAGTAAGGATTAGCAAGTATAAAAATCTTCATTAGGTAGTCTGATATACGATTCATAATTATGTACATTTAATTTGAAGGCTTTAATTTCGATGACGAGTTATAATATTTGAATCTTACTATTTAATTTCGTAGAGTTTTGTTTATTTATAGTTTTATGGTGACATGTGATGCGCACGTTTCGATATGTCTATCCACGTGTCATAAAGATTTATTGTTGGGTTTTTGCTAATGTGCTCTGAGCGATTAATAAAGCCGAAACGAAGACACTCCCATATGCTACTATTTTAGATTAGTAGAGTAGGTAGGGATAGACATCGGTATACTTAAGTCATAAATTTACTTTATTTTCTACCAAAATTATGCTTTGGTTTAGTTAAAGTGACAATTTAACATTATAGGTATAACTGATCATGCTTTTTAAATTACTAATTATTTTTATCATATTATTCTTTGTATCCATCTTCAAAATTTGTTGTGATGAAATATGCAAGAGATAGAAATTTTGAAGTACAATTTTTTTTTTCTGTATGCTACAAAGGAAATTTTTTTCTGAACCGTTTTGCTATAGAAATTTTCTTGACAATGAATTCTCTTAATCGAATAACTGACACAAAATGCCATATTCCACCTGATAATATCCCATGAGTATACACGATTAGTATTTGGTAAAATGCAATAATAGAGGTATCTTTTTCAATAACTCTATTTTGTACATAATATTTTTAATTATTACAATGTGAGACAAAATGAAGAGATTATTTGGTATTTCAATACGTGTCATCTTATCCGCCAATTCATCAGATGTGGAACATTGCTAATTATGATCGTGAAAGCTAAGAAAATGCAAATTTGATGATTCCAAGAGAATTGGACTTTTGGAATAAAGCGATCTTCGCCTTAATGTATATTGGCTTCAATTGTCAGACTAACCTAGTACCATCGCGTAAAATTATTCTTCAATTTCAAATAATTTAACAACTTTTATCAAAAATCAAGAATTAGCAACACTAGAAGTAATCATCAATCAAAAGATATCAGACTAGCTTTTAATGTAATGAAATACAACAATTACAACAATATATTACAACAATCAACAAAAGGTACTTTTATTAAAAGTTCAGAAATATTTATATAGTTCTTTTTTTTAAATTATTTTGTATAATTTATTAAATAGACATTTCAATAAACACTGTAGAACCCTCCATTGTGATTCTTATATAATAATAAAATACAAACTCTTTGGTAAGGGCTATAAATTAATTTCAAGTAAGTATAGAGTCAAAACGCAGGTGTTTAAAAAAATAATTACAACAATTACAACAATCAACAATGGGTTCTATTATTGAAAGTTCAAGAATATTTATATAGTTTTTTTTTAAATTATTTTGTATAACTTATTAAACAGACATTTCAATAAACACTGTAAAAACTTCCATTGTGATTCTTGTATAATAATAAAATACAAACTCTTTGGTAAGAGCTATAAATTAATTTCAAGTAAGTATAGAGTCAAAACGCAGGTGTTTAAAAAATAATTACAACAATTACATCAATCAACAATGGGTTCTATTATTGAAAGTTCAGGAATATTTATAAAGTTTTTTTAAATTATTTTATATAATTTACTAATTAGACATTTTAATAAACACTGTAGAACCCTCGATTGTGATTCTTGTATTAAAATAAAATACAAACTCTTTGGTAAAAGCTATAAAGTAATTTCTAGTAAGTATAAAGTCAAAACGCAGGTGTTTAAAAAAATAATTACAACAATTACAACAATCAACAATGGGTTTTATTATTGAAAGTTCAAGAATATTTATATAGTTTTTTTTAAATTATTTTATATAATTTACTAAATAGACATTTTAATAAAAACTGTAGAAAACCTCCATTGTGATTCTTGTATAATAATAAAATACCAACTTTTTGGTAGTAGCTTTAAATTAATTTCAAGCAAGTATAGAGTCAGAATTTAGGTATTTAAAAAAATAATTCCACTGGAAATTGTTTTAGAAACCTACAAATATACTGAGTATCTTATAATCAACCATGAGATGTTTTATTATTATCTGTTAACTAAAAGATAATGATCACATTTGATATATGTTCCGTTCATGTAAGTGTATGGCATCAAATTCTTATAAAAACAAAAAAAAGTATAACGATCTCAAAAATCTCGAATAATTCTCATTGCAGTCTAGAGAAAAAGTGTAACTTTCGAAAATGAAACAATAACAAAAGATTTAGTGTGAATCTTCTAAGGGCAAAAAAGAACAAAACTGCGCCTACTTTGTAGTAAATTAATTGCGAAAGCAGAACACTTGTAATACAATACGTTATCAAAACACTTATAACATAAACTCAAAAACTACTTCATGATAAGATAAAATTAATTAAACTAATTAAATTTCGCACTAATAAATTGAAATTGGAAATATTTTTGAAATAATAAGAATATTTAATTTCTTTATTTTATGCTTGATTTCTAAATTTGTGTATGTAAATAAGCCATTTGAATATGCTTTAACCACATATTACCATCCAACCTAATAATAGCAATTACTCATTCACATTAGCCGCTACTGACAGACATTTCAAATGCATATAAACATATTTTGAAGTTTTGACAGGCTGAATTTTCCTTTTAAAAAACCGTACACTTCCTTGTTCCATGTTCAATAGAA